GTGGGTCAACTTTCCTTATTCTCTGCTTTATTTGATGAACTTTCAAACGGATTTCACCTTTAAAACATAAATATGATCTAAAGCTTCAGAGCCACAGAGTTTGTTGACGTTTTGGTCTATTGTTTCTGAGCTGGGTGCTGTAAAGTTTGCAGAAGCGTTTTTGCTGCATTTTGCACCAAAGCGGCTCTAATGGTTGTGTTCTGGTAGTCACCGCTGGGTGGCGCTGCTGCAGCTTGTAAATGTATTTAAAAGCCACCTGGTGTCTTATGATTAGTGGTGGTGGACAAAATACCTATCTATCTATCTATCTATCCATCTATCATCTATCTATCTATCTATCTATCTATCTATCTATCTATCTATCTATCTATCTATCTATCTATCTATCTATCTATCTATCTATCTATCTATCTATCTATCTATCTATCTATCTATCTATCTATCTATCCATCTATCTATCTCTATCTATCTATCTATCTATCTATCTATCTATCTATCTATCTATCTATCTATCTATCTATCTATCTGTCTATCTATCTATAGGAGATCCTTTTTTACATCATCTAGATTTATGATGTCCTCCACCAATCCCATTTGTGTCTTTACTCATGTGATCCATATGATCAGCATGGTGATTGGATTGGTGCATTTGACCTTTCAGAGAGAAATTCAGCTCTGGGTCAAAAATCTTCTGTTTTTCTTGGGTCTTTTTGACCTTTCATGGTTAAAGGAGTAGATTGGTGATATGGAAAGCACGGGTTGAACTCACAGCGATCCAGGTGGCAGCCTTCTGCTCATAACCCTCAGCGACAGATGAAATGTCTTTTATTTCAGAATAAAACTTTGTGTAACTTTTCTCATTTACTTGTCAGTGTAGAGAAGTGGTATCTTACCTTTATCAGTGAAGGAGGCTGAGTCATGTCTCCAGGCTTGCACGAGCCTGTTATCCATAATTTAACTATGTATGTGTACGGTTTATATGATTGATATTTGAGTGAATTTGAAGGGAACACATTGACTTTTTTTCTTGAGTTAAATTAGTTCTACTGCTGCTAACAAAAATGCTCATGAAGTTCATGGAGTTGCATAAAGTGTTTTCAGCGTTTTATTCTCAGTACCTTCCAGAATGAGTTGTTTCAGGGCGTTGTCACTTTAAGAAAACAACCATCCCCCACTCAGGCTGCTTTATGCTAAGAAGCTCAAATATTTGGGAGGAGCTTGTTGTAGAGCTGCTTTTCCTCCAAGAGCATCTTACTTGCATGTGAGAAGTGGATCTATTCTTCTTTCCCCATTTGTGACATCACAATCAGCAACTTAATGAAACAGCTTGTTTTAGGCACATACTTCCTGAAACCAAACATCGACAGAAAACGGTTCGATTTTTTTTTAAATCATGTTTTGAGTTTATAGAGGCAGTAGAGACCCACATGGCAGCACTAAAGGAAGCAAAATGTGAGTTTTGCATAACATGCTAGGGCTGGGCAATAAATAAAAAATGTGTTATTATCGAAATTTCTGACTCTTATCGGGAGAATTGTTCCCATGTGAATAGATTTGATAATAAAATAATGAAAAGATGTGTGTAGGTTGGCAACGTTCATGACCCTTTAAGAAGCTGTATCACATTGAGTCACGTAAAAGCGTGACTCAATGTGATACATGTGACAGCCCCATCTAGTGGACAACTTTTGTTTCTGCACATACCTGTAGTTATCGTCTATTTATCGTTATCGAGGTGAAATCCTCAATATGTCATGGTATTGATTTTAGGCCATATCGCCCAGCCCTATAACGTGCCCCCTTTAAGTTGAACATGTTTCTGTGGAAACAAGTACAACTTATAAAAAGAGATGTGGCCAGTTCTTTGGCTGAAGGAAGATGAAACTGAATTCTTCCGATTCTTATGTGTTTTTAATCAGACCATTGAGTTTAATCGTCTCCTCTGCACCTTATTGATCCCTGGACCTTTTGGTGGTTTCTGTGCTTTTCATGTTTCTAATGACCAGTTTGCTGCTTCATCACATCTTGCCTTGAGGCTGATTGTGTTCCCTCTTTTCTCTGCTGGTGATGCAGCACACAGCCGTCCCCTGCAGCCAGCTGAAGAGCTCCTACATCTGTTCTTGTAATGATTAGAATGCACTCTAACCTGATCTATTGATCTGTCTGGGACTCGGTGAGTGAACGTTTGTAAACTATTCATTTCTTGCAAATGTGCACCTGCTTGGAAAAACAGATCAGTCATCATCTAATTCCACATTTTTAGGCGACCTGAGTGTGTTGTAACTCTGAGCATAAGAAAGAGTGGTGCACGATGGTGACAGGTTTCTTTTCAAACACATCTAACAAAGACGTGACAAGATGGTGGAGGAGTTTCACCTCTAGCAGACACCAGTAGTCTTCCTCAGGCAACACTCCTCTGCTATAAGCTGCACTGCAGAGAACATGCATAACTTCCTTTTTATTAGGTTTTTGTTATTTCTTTCTGTCATAAACACAAATCAAGTCATTTATTGCATACTTTTCAGTTATTTAGGTTTTCTTGATTCATTCCTACAACTGAGCTCTTGTTCATCTTTAACCTGTGCATACGTGTTTTTGTCTGTTTAAATGTTTCTAAGAATTGATATGGTCTTTATATGATTTACAGTAACTGGACATTTTTAAGGAACAGTCACAGGTGTGATATCTGGTGAGAAACAGTAGATGCAGTTTTCACTCCAAAGAAAAAACCTGTTTATGATGCAAATAAAACACATTTCTACACTCTGAGCAATTTAGCACAGAAAGTCAATGTTATGGAACTTCATGTATTAAATAAACAAACTCAAAGTTTAGTTCATAGATTTTAACTGAATTCATGTTCATAATCAACTCAGATAACAGCCTCGGAAGGAACTAATTCTCGTTATTTTGTTTCTTCTAACAAATATTAAAACATGGTTGATAACATCATGCATCAGGTTTTTTAATTTTTGTTTGGCATTCTAATTTTGATTGCTATTAGCTTTTTTATTTTGTCCTCTGCTTTTTAAAGGTGCAGTATGTAAGAATATAGTGAGAATTTTACAGTGAGAAAATCCCAAGAGTCTAACGTTTCAGTCATTTTGGAAGGAAGGTTACACTGAAACATATTTCACAGCTCACTGCGGAGATTGTCAGTTTTTCTCCTTTCAAAATAAAGGAAGAAGGGACGTAGCTACTGTTTACCATCAGTGAGTGTGTTTACTGTGTCTCCTGCAAACGAATGCTGCAGCGCCAACAATTATAATATGACGACGGCCGGCAAAAAGCTCTAGAGTGGTTTAAAGTGGTTGCAGTAATGAAATTTTACCACAGGATGTCATTTTTACTTCATTTCTACATAATGCACCTTTAATTCACTAACTGCCAATGAAGACTAAAGTCATCGACAAAAGACGTCATTGGCATGTTTTTACTGTGTGGGCGTCGGAACGAGCCCCCGCACTGTGAGAACAAACATCTCAGCTCTAAAGCCGATCTTCATCTGCATACGTCACACGTCACGTGATCAGGAAGCAGAAAATCCATGTGTTAGGAGATCGTTTTGGGCCGCTGCTGTAAAAAAAAAGTGAGGAGCGAACCGGAAAAGCTTCTGTTGATCACAATTCCACAACGGATTATGAAATAACATACAACGCTCGAAACGCACGGATTCTTCCTGATGTAAGAGGTGAGTCTCCTCTTTGTTTTTGGTAGTTTTGGCGTCGACATGATCATAGAGCGCAAGGTTCTGTGACTTAACTCTCTGGAGGCAGGTGTTGCAGATTTGCAACAGTTAAAACCTACCTACCTGGTTACTCCACATACATATTTCATGAGCATTTTTTTAACTCAGAAGTATCCCTGAAGGGCTTAGTTGTTCAACCTTTTATCAAAACTTATTTTGAGCCTGAGAGGGTTAAAAGACTGTAAAATTGCAGAAAAACGCTGGCAGCGAAGGGCTTTTCTGATCAGGAAATGAGTTAATTAACACTTTTCATGTGACATTAAGTTAAATTACCCAGACAACAGTCAGATGGGAGCCTGGTAAACATGAGGTGGTGGGGCTGAAGGAGTTAAAGCTGTCTGCTTCTCTCAGATTCTTTGTTCTGGTTACAGCAGAATGTTCCCAACTAAGATGCTCTCACTCACATCTTTTTTCCGTTTTGTTGCCAGAAAGTAAAATAATTAAAAGTTTTGTAAATCCGGACTGAAACGCTGCTCATTAACATCAATCGCTTTCAAAGCACAACAACAAATATACTTTTTTCATTGTAAAGCCTGATGCCAGAAGATCTCTTCTCACACATGCTGATGATGTCTGTGTAGCTTTCCTAGATTTATGATCATCTGAGAGAAAAAGTAGACATGCTACAATGTCTCAAAGTTTCTTTTCATGGGTTCTCACAAACAGATGTGTAAAAAACTTGATCACACAGCAGATCTGCCCTCTTAGAGACGATCATGTTTTTGCAACAATGTTTGTCCTATAAATCAGTCTGAACAGTGTTCAGTTGACGTGAAGTTCATGAATGTGCTCACTAGATTACACAAAACCATATAACCTATACTATCATTCATTATTTTCATAATCTACTATGGCTATAATCCACTATTCTCTTTTATTGGTATTTCATGGCATTGTTTTCTATCTTAGCTCACATGCTATCATATCCTATCCTTTTCTATACTATCACATTATATTGTGTTCTAGCCTTTCCCATTGCTTCATATCATATCACATTGTCCAATACAATAAAAGTCTTTTATGTTTTAGCTTCTGGCAACTCTCTTGTATCTGGGTTCTCCAAAGTTTTTTGTATGCAGCTTTCACAAAAGAGTGTGTTTCTGAGGACACACACGTAGCCAGGTTTTGGTAAAACCAATATCCTGCTCCACCCATCTAGAAAAAAAGATGTTATCAGCAACAACAAAAAAATCCAGTGAATTATGAAGCACATTTATAGGCATGCCAAGCCTGTAGGTGGCAGTAGTTCCCC